CCTGCTTCACAGGAATACTTGCTCCTGGCATTCTGCTAGCAGATACCGCCTCCGTTAGCATCTCACGACCCGAGAGCCTCTCTCCTGGCATTTCCCAATTAGCAAGCAGAATTCACTCACAGCAGCAAAACTAGCCCCTATATTCTCTGTTAGGTTGCAGCTACAGGGTCCTCTGCTCTTCCAGCGAAAAATGTCACGTATTTATCTTTGTATCTACAAATCTGTATAGTAATGTACATACATTTGTATTCTCTCTCTATTGTTAAGTACTAGTATTTGTCTGGATTTAGCTTTGCATTTTAATTTCATATGAAATTACACATAATTACTTTGTCTAATAAATTTGAATTTGGCATACTGATGGCGATGAAGGCCTCTGGCAAGATTTGGCTCCTAAAACTGGCCTGAGTGCCCTTCAAAGCGTGTCTTACTAACGAGTTAGCATACCTGGGCCTACTATCAAACAGAACTCCTATTACTTGCACGGCTTTTTGATCGCTGTTTCAAAGTCTTTCAGCCCAAGTTGCAATGTCATTACTAAATCTTGGGTGGGTTTCTTTTTGTGCTTTACGTCTGCCCTTTTGTTCAAGGATTCTGAATCTCATTGTTACGTAAAAGGCGCAAGTTTTGTCGAGACAGTATCTCCAGGGCTTAACCAGCGCACACCCTCTTTCCTTCTCTTTTAGCTATCTAATGGTTACAGCACTAACCCTATTTTAAAGATCTCTCTTAAAATATTTATGTTTTGCATTTAATAACAAATAAATAATTCCAAGTAACATGCTGCACGATAAGAAAGATAAATCAATCAAAATGAAATAAAGTCTCTTCTTTCTTGCTCCAGTTAATTTTAAAATGTCCATTATCTAGGACTGGATCTACAGAGTGCATACAAAGGTCCTCTATCAGACCTCCACATTATTGACAAAAAAGGTAAATAAAAGCTTAGGCAGCTTTAAAGTGGCACACCAGGGGCTACCATATTTAACTGATCATGGGACAGAGTAAGCTATCCAGAAATAAAGGGACCGATTAGGCTATGTGATGATCTCAATTTTAAGAAACAAAGACCTTGCTTACTTATGAAAAGGATACACCTCGCCTAAAGATACCAAGGGCAATACAGAACCATTTTCAAAGGGACGGAGCGAGAGATTCAACCGCCCGCCCTCAACCGCCACCGAAGGGGCGGCCACG